ACGAAAGATTACACCGATTACAAATGATTACAGTGATTACAAATTATTGCCACTTGATTACCAAAACTTGATTACAAATATGGTAATCATGTGATTACAATGATTACATTGATTTCCCTGGGATTACAAGCTTTAGAATTCTTCAATACAATTGGCCAAACACTAATTAAATTTCCAGCAGAAGTTTAATGCAAATCCAATGAAATTTTCTGTCGTATTCACTAGGTCTTTCAATTGATGTTTTCCTTACGTGAAATCAATTTACTGAAAACTAAAACTTTTTTTCCTCTGCGCATTCATCAGAATCTTTAACTATATTTCCACATTCACAATTTAATTATCACAATTGAATTATCATCAATTATTCCAATTAAATTGTCTTGAATTATCCCAATTCAATTATCTTGCAGCTCTGTAAATTCGCCTGAATTGAGCTTAAGCTCCATTTGAAATCATGATAAATTAGCACCTATCTCTGCAATTCCAAAAATTTCAGATTTGCGTCGATCTGAAAATGCTCCGCTTTCCCAGATTTGTTTGCCCAAATACCGTCGCTTATCAGTAATGCCATTGAATTATCGAACAAAGCCCTCGAGAATCCTTATCATAGAGCCATCGAATTAACGTTTCCCCGAAAATTTCGTAAATATTTACTCACCCTGAATGTTTGAAAGGTACCTATGATTTTCCCAGTGTTCAGCATGGTTGGGTGAATTTCCGTGGTTTCCACTTGTAACTCCTATATCTGTATTATGTACCAGTTGTTGAACTTGGTCTGAAGCTCGGTTGCACTCTATGGATTTTGGGCCGATACCCTCATCCACTCTCTGTGCACACGTCAACCTTGTGTCTGAAGTTTTCAAGTTTCAGCGAAATGTAACCAGGGGTGAGTCCAATGGGAGAGATTTTGGGGCCAGTTTTGTGTAACTACTGGAAGCATCAATACAAGTAGAGTAGTACGTCATCAGCAAGTTCGGAAGATCAATTTGTTCTGGAGATCGTTTTCCACAACAAGTAACTTGGTGTAAACTAACTTGGGTTTAATCGCTTGGGATTTCATGGTCGATAGGTGGAGGGAAATAGTCGAATAGACACAAAATTATGCGCATGACAAATTTCCGAAATAGGGCCGGCAATTTTTTTACTAGAACACAATGAGACAACAACGTTTCCTGAGAAGTACGTCTCTGCTTCTATCAAGAAACTTAGGTAACACTATAGGAGACGTTGGTCCTACTTCAACTGATTTTTCATTTCATAGAGAATTTTTTCCTAATCCTCATCCGACTTAGAAATATTTATCTCACAGACATCTGATTGTCCCCTGTGGCCATTCATTTGGCCTTTCTGACTTAGCTTTTTTTCGGCTTTTTTTCGGTTTGACGGAAACAAACTTGCAAACTCTTGACGAGAATTTTTCTTTCTCAGTGCAAGATCCTTTCTTCTTGTTAATTTTCGAGCCATGAGTTCAGTCATACAAGTGAAGACGTATTCATCAAAAAACTTCTTCTGTCAGTGTAGTCTCGTCAATTTTTAAAATAGAGTACCCTCAGAAAAAAAGTTTTTTGAGAAGTACGTCTGTAGTCTGAGAAAGAAAAGCTTTCTCCAAGAGGTTAGGTACTTTCCTGAATGATGAGGGTAATTCGTTCATAATAAGAAAGCGACTTCTCAAACCATGTCAAGTGGTCTTTGCATTAAGGTAGTTTGGATTTTAGACTTCAAAATTATTGAATAAATCGATTTTTTTATTCTCACTGTAAAACGTTTTATTCATTCATCATGAGAACCACTGAAATTTTCCTCAAACAGTTTTCTCTCCCCGTTTTTTAACTTTTTTCGAAAACTAAGATTCAAGTATCATAAATTTTGTCAAACGAGACAGATTATTAATCCCCACAATGCCCAACAAATCCCTAATTAACTCACATTTCCATTAAAAAAGGTGATAAACCCAATCCCATTCCTGATAATGATTAACGAGGCCTTAAGTCGACCATACTTAATTGCTCAACGGATTATTACAATGACTAATGACCCTGCATAAGCCAGCACCACAGCCTTTGTATTCATGCTCGAATGATGATATTAATTAAACCTCGGAATTCACTCTCAACTGTATTTTCCATGTACCAAGCATTTCGTACAATCCCGTAAAGCATTAAAAATTCATCCGTGCCAGCTGGTGAACTACGTGAGACATTCGGGTCATGGAGATTTTACCGTTTTACTCTCATGTATATATCATTCATTACGATATTAATGACATGGGCTTCAATCCAATATCCCAGCCATTCTTCCTACACCTCATTGAGCGACTCAATACTGAGAATTAAGTCGAGCGAGAATAACGTCAATGAGCCGATCGTGTTCTGAAAATACTGGAGAGGCATTCCCTTCATTAATAGTCGACAGTTCATTGGTTGCTCATTGTTGAGCACAAACCGTTGAAATTCGAATAAAGCTCTCTACTGTATCCCCCCTCCCATTTTACTTTCAATTCCTGGATTTTTCTTTGTTCTCATTTGCTCATTCCTGTGTTTTCATGCTCAATGATGTGTGCAGTGGGATTTTTTGAATCTCGTCAATTATAGTTTTGTGAAGGGGTGCTTTAAGGTTGAATTGAAGCGATGGAAATTAGTGAGGATAAAATTCTTTTGATGATTTATTAAATTTGAGGGGGAGAGCACCGAGAGAAGAAGTTTCTGTTGCCAGAACCAGTTATGGATTGAGTGTCAATCAGACAAGTCTTTAAAACTAAAATCGTTCACGGAGAAGAAACTTCAGGAAAAATTACGTGACAACACGTAAATGTATAAATTTTTTAACTCGGTTGACCACTTGATAGGTTAATCATCCTTAATGTGTTTTTTCGTCCATTATTTTGGTAATGAATTCAATGACTGAGTGGCTGATTTTATAAAATGTGAAGGGATTTCTCTTTAAAAACGGAAGTGTCGATCGCTTTTTTGGAATAAGCAAAAATGCTGAAAGATTGAATATTGAAAATAGTTATTGTTCATGAATTTTAAAATGTTTGGTGGGCCTCCAATGAATCATTTCGCGACGATTTATCGCAGAAAAAATATGAGTCTAGCTGGCAATAGGAGTATTGGCCGTTGACAGCTAAATCAATAATGAAAGATAACTTTTTTCATGCTGCTGAATTTTTTTTCATTGAAGCAATTGTTTTTAGTGAATTGTTCGAGCGAAATGCCGGCTTTTTGGGTCATTTCACTATTGTTTTTTACTAAAGGAAGATCCGGGTTTGATGGTATTGTTTTTAACTCTCTATTTTTATTCTGTTTCAATAAGCATTATCATACACGAGAGAGTATTGTTTCACCTCTGTTTCATTAACCGAAAAATGGGTTCAATTCTATTTTTATTTGAGGGGATAACGGTTTCGATGAGGGTGAGCACTTACTGATTAATTTATGTTAAGTCTCTATTGATTTATAGACTGAATATTAAAATGAAAATTGGAGGATATTGATTGGAATTTAATTTTAATTATATTGTTATTTTGAGAACGAGTGATTTTAGGAGAAAATTTCAGATTTTTTTATAATTGAATTTCTGGTTTATTCGAATTAAATATCAGGGTTTATTCAAACACAGAGGTAAGAAGTTTTTGTTTTAGGGAGGAAGAATTGTTTAAGTGGCGTGGATAATAAATTTATTAACATGTAATAATCCCTTATTTGCGAAGAATCAATTACTCATTTCACATAATTAATCCCTCCCGGATCGGGCCCTTCTGTTACCAAGCGTAGTGTGTACTCAATACCACTCGAATTCGATTATTCCTCATGAATAGAAAATTATCAAGCCGGTAGCTCAACGAAGCTACAGTATTCCGATTACCAAATTGAATCCAAATTTTAAAAAAATGTTCTCTTCAGATTCATAGTTCTCGAGTTTTTCTAGGCACGCGCGAGCCTATTTTTAGGTGAGAATCTAAGCACCTTGTTGTCAAGCGCAATGTAGATTGCGCAAAAGTGCGCCTAGAGATGATACATTTTTGTTCCTTTTTATTCTCTCATGATCGTCTCACGTGACCGTCTTCCGATCGCAACACACTCTGAACATCGGCTAAAATTAGAGAACTAATACTCGTGGAAAAATCCAGTCTAGGCATGACTATATCTCATCTGAACATCTAGCAACAGCTCTATGTCTCTAGCCTATAAAAGATAGTGCATAAGCCCAGCAGCGGCACTACTTCCAGTTGTCCTTTTTGAGCAGCAATTACTTACTTCTGTAATCTCAGTATTCTGATCCGATTTTTATTTCAAAACCGTAAGTCAAATGAATAATATATTAAACTAAAATTCAAAAACCTTTCAAAACCTCCTTGCATGGCCATAGAAGCCTCCTTATTAAAAGATTCTATTAAAATCAATTAAAAATTATAAAACTCAAAAATTAAATTAAAATTGGATAAAAGAAGAAAGTAGAAGGAAATAACAAGAACATAGTATTCATTGTAACTTGAGAATATCTTGTTCTCATAACTGACCTACGAGCAGATCAAGAAGATGTAGTGAAATGTTCAAGACTCTTTAAACTACATTGGATTAATAAATTGGCAAATAACTTTCTTTTCCGAAATGCATTGGAATCAGCCTCGTATCCATCTAGTTCTATTCACACTGAATAAAATCAGCAGAAGGCATCAGCATACCTTAAGGATATTTGACTTTGGTCTCGGTGCCTGGAGTAGAAAGCATATTTTTTGCTTTGACCCCAAATAGAGACCTTCAGTAAGTATTGTGTTTGGACGTAACCATTTCTCTGGGTGCACCCCTCATGATTCCTATAATTCCATAATTCCTCGAAAGGTCTAAAAAATTGCGTTATGAAAGTTAGTTCGAATTCACAAAAAATATTCTTTGAATTATTCCAATAATACCAATTTCATTTAGTCGTCCCTTTGTGGTAACCCTAAACACCATTGATTTTCTCCCTTCAACACTGTTTCACTCCTTTTTTTCTTTCAGGACCGGCGGGACCCATCCCAGACCTAGTTGGCCACAGCCGTTGTGGCAATGTGCTCATCCTGAAAGGACTGGTTTTTCCACAGTGGAAAAAACGTGTCGTTGCTGTCATTGGATCTCGTCTCTTCCTCTACCCCGGTGAGTATCGGCTTCACATTTATTTCAAATACATAATTCTCTCAGTATAATAGAACAACTTGTTCTATCCTGTTTTCCGTTGTGAATTGTTTATTTTATTGGACCCCTAGCACACGTGTCTCTGCATCTGTTCGTGTCCATCTTTCGAATCAAAGAGAACGGTTGGATTTTATCTGAGAAGATCATAAAATATTCATAAATTCTTCGTTATCATTCATGAATGAATTCATTTCTCTCAATGTCCCACATTAATTGGAAAATTTTAGAAAATTCATGGAAATTTCTTCGTTAGGGAAGTGTGCCTGTACTGCTCATTTAAGGGGAGACTACCATGAGTTTTAAAAGTCGCGGGCAATTGGAGTGAGATTTCTCATACATTGAAGATTAATTAGATATGTGTAAAAACGAATAATTAGTGCAAAAAAATTAATTTTTTTTTGTTAGTTTGCTCCGAACAGGCTTAAAATGTTAAAAATAGTCCAGGGCCTCAAATTTTAGAACCACAGAGGTGTTCTTTTTTTCAAAATTTTTGAAAATGCCGGAAACCGGCTTCCATGGTTTCCCTGGCAGTCCAATCCCGAATGGGGTGCAGTTGGGGATAAAGTAAGTCGGCCTATGGTAACGCAGATAGGGAAGGGAACAAAATGTAAAAACCCGAAAAGGTATACATATGGAACCAAAAAAAAAATATTTAAAATATTTTTAAAAAATAACGAAATTAGCTGTGTAGGAGTTGATTTTTAAAAAACAAATTCATAATTGTTATTGTAGCCATTTTTTCAAACATTTTGAAAAAAAACCTCTGTAGCTAAAAAATCAGAGACCCTGGACTATTTTTAACATTTTAAGCCTCTGCGGGAAAAACAATCAATAAACAATTCATTTTTTTGCACTAATTATTCCTTTTTGGATATATATAATCGATCTTTAATGTATGAAAAATCGCATTCCAATAGCCCGCGAATTTTAAAACTCATAGTAGTCTCCCCTTGAGGGGAGACGTCAATTTTGCATCTAAAGGGGAAACGGTATCCCATCAGTTTATCGATGAATTTTCGAATGGTCATTTGTTAATCAAATAATTCAGTAAGGCCGTTAAAATTTTTAACTTCCCGGCAGGGAAGTTATTGTAATGGCCCCGAAAATCAAAAATCGGTTTTTCATCAAATCTCCATGTTTCAAGTTCTTTTCGATGTTCTTAGAGAATTTTAAACAAAATGTCTGTCTGTGTGTGCGTGTGTTACTAGGTATGTACGTGGTCAAAATTTTGGTTAACGATTTCTCGTGAACGAATTCTCCGATTAGACTTTTTTTTTTCAATCGATAGGTTTTCATTCAACTTAGAGCGGATTAGATTTTGGCTGATATCTGTTTAGACTGTTTTTGAGTTTTCCCGGAAAGAAAATTTCAAAATGACAAAAAAGCAACGAACACTTTCTTAATCTCATGAAAATCACATCTAGAACGATTATAATGAAGAAAATTTCATACTTCTCTTCGATTCCTTCCAAAAATTGCCGTTTTTCTATCAATAAATGAGAAATAAAAAAATTCCAATTGGAATACATTATTTATATCACTCCGATGTTAATATTAACTCTCAATACTAGAAATCTTATCGTATTTCGAGTTGAGAGAAATATTATATGAAAACAAATGCTGACATCAGTGGTGTACTTCGTCTCATGAAAATGCGACACATTTCTCATGAACGCGACATCTTTTGATTGACCAAGTTTTTGCGTCTACTTCCGGCATGTACACCGACTGTGTCGAACCGGCGTGTGCTTTGATAAAATTATCAAGTGAGAACTGTGTTTACGGTTCGATGGAAATCGGAAATGGGAAATTCAATATATTCTAAGGGCTAAGGAAAGTTCCTTTTCATCATTTGCATGTAAAGTGAAATTTTCGCAAGAGTAAAAAAAATATTTCCTAAAACACCAGTGTTAAACCCTATTGTTCATCACAACTTTACGCACAAGTGATAGAAATGTTTTTTACAATGAAAATATAAGGAAAACGTGAAAAAATAAATTGTAATGTTGTATTCACCAACAATATTGTTTTCATCAATTCAATTGACGATCTTGATTAATTCGTTTAAATGCGAATTCCTTTGTTAACACCGGAAGAAACATTTCAATCCTCCAAAATTGTTATTACGAACAAAAAACTCCAAACAATTCGAATAATTCTGTTTCTCCAACCGATAAAGAATTGTTTGATTAAGAAATTTTCTGGTTGAAAAAACTCGCAACGCCTTTGAGGTTTTATCCCATAAAGAAAAACTTTATCCATTTAATTCTTCTCTTTGCCAATTAATGAGAAACTTGAGAGGGAGAAAAACGAGACTCTGTATAAATGCGAACGTTCCAACTGAAAATCGGAAATGAGAAAATAGTCGACGAGCTTCGAATGTTTGCACGCACTTCACCGAGTTTGACCAGCGAGTGATGTTTTCTGATAATAGGAGGATGTGGAATAGAGCTCAATAATGAATACATGTCGGGAAATCCTGTCTGATGTCTCTGGGTAAATAACAGATTTTAGTTTTATTGCTGTCCAATGGCTTCCGAGTGGACGCATTGTTGTCATGCAAATTCTAAATTCATAGATTTTCTCGCTGATACTGTGGTAGGAGATGAGGAATGGGTGAAAATTGACCGAGGGCGGCCCAATGTTGGCCAGTGCTGAGCGACTCTAGGCCTATCCTGGGTCATTCCTCATCTCCTACCAGGAGAATATCGGTCTAGAGTAATGAATGCCTTCAACTGATCCAACCGCCCGAGTGGAAATTGCTTCCGGCCCACCTGAAGCACGATCAGAACTTTATCAGGTTTTTGTAAGGTTCGACTGACCCGGTGATTCCTGATGAGAACCTGACCAAGTTCTGATCCAACAGATTAGATCCGAAAAACTACAGGCGGGTTCAGATCAAGTTCTGATCAGGTAGACATGATCAGATGATGCCTGGTGAGAACCTGATCAAGTTCTGATTCAGCAGATGGGATCCATCTGCTCCGAAAAACTTCAGGCGGGTTCAGATCAAGTTCTGATCAGGTAGACATGATCAGATGAAGCCTGATGAGAACCTGACCAAGTTCTGATCCAGCAGATCGGATCCGAAAAACTACAGGCGGGTTCAGATCAAGTTCTGATCAGGTAGACATGATCAGATGAAGCCTGATGAGAACCTGACCAAGTTCTGATCCAGCAGATCGGATCCGAAAAACTACAGGCGGGTTCAGATCAAGTTCGGATCAGGTAGACATGATTAGATTATTTTTGATCATAAAAATCCCAATTTTTACGAATTTATTACTAATGAAGTTTTTGTACAAAAAGAACAAATCGAACACAAATTGTCACAACGGCCGGGAGACTTACGGCGCGTCAACTCCGTTATTCAATGAACGATAACTTGAAAATAGTTTTAAAAAAAATTGAAATAAAATGCATTGGCTGCATTGAATTTTGAAATAAACTCCCTGAGAATTGTGTTTTTTTCCGATAATTTCCTAATTTTTGACACCAATTTGAATGTTTGTCGGCAATTGGTTGTCGAAATCTTCGAACATGCTAAATTTTTATAACAAACAAATTATTCAACAAATCGAAATTTAACTTCTGCCATTTAACAGAAGGATCATTAAAGTATGTTAATTAAAAATTTCAAAATTTTTGGTGGAAATTCTGTCAATAAACGATACGATTTAATTTGATTGAATCGGTTCAATGTGAAATTTTCATCTACAACTTTTAGAAAAAAAACATTGTAAAATAGTTCACTGCAGAGACAATTCCATTGACTTTCCAAATATCTTTTCCAAATGTCAATATGTCTCTTAGAATTTGAGAAAATGATTTTTTACTGTCGACGGAAAGGATCGATACCATGCATTGACCCCGGCCGATGGGATAAACTTATGGGTCGATGCATGATACGTACATGAGGGGGGGGGGGTCAAGTTGTCCCCTCCTGACGCTCAATCGATTGACCAAATGATGCATGAATTTAAAACAATGAATATTTAATAAAAGTCATATTCTCAAATTGTTTTCACGAATTTTAATTGTATTCATCACAAAACTCTAAATGCCAGCTGAATTGGTATCAGTAGATAAATAACGTTCCTACTGTTATAAGACACTAAAAGAACCCCATTGAACGAATTAAAACTAAAGGCATTATCGGTTGGTGGATAAAGTTTCCGAAGAGGAGACTTCATAACAAACGCGTTGGGTCTCGGGAGCCCATCCCTCTGCCATCGATAATGAACGGCTGCGAAAAGTTTTAATTGTTCGAGTGGCAAAGTCGGGATGGTCTCTCAGAATCCCCCCCCCCCCCTCTTTTGCCCCCGCCCCCACCCGCCGAACATTAACTTATTGTTAAACTTTCGTGGTATCGTAATTATCCTAGCAGTTTTGCAAACGTTGTTCAGTACTTTCATTGTCATTTTGTTGTCCAATTTCAATCGACGTGAAGTAATTGGAGGGACGCTGGGTTGTTAATTTGATGGAAGTGGTGATTATCACGTGGTAAAAGGGGGTTTATTGAATTGCCAGAGGATTCTCAGGCGGAAAACGAAGAATGACGATTCAATTTGCTGCAATAGTTCTCGATAAGAGAAAGTGATTGCACGAAAAAAAAATTACCGAAAAATTACGATGTTAGTGTAGTACGAACATGACTTGAATTTTGGAGATTAAAATCGGAAGTAAATTCTGAAAGGACGTTAATATGGATATAAATATTATGGTTGAGTTTGTGCTTCAGGGGTGCGAAATCATGTCACGTTTCAAAATTTGTCAGGTTAGACAAATATCACGGTCATGTGACGTGATTTTTTTCGTGTTACAATTCTCGTGACCCTTAATCTGCCCTTCGTGAACCTTATTCTGACCCTCATGACCCTCAATCTGAGCCTCTTATTCTGACCCCTGCAAGTCCGACCCTTGTGGCCCTTATTCCGACCCTTGTGACCCTTATTCTAATG